TTTTCTCCTCCCACGTGTTCCAAAGACATGGCAGGACAACATGGGAAAGACCAGCGAGGCGAAGATCAAGAAATTTGATGGTGAAGACTACACTTGTGTCACGTTCCAGCCTGATCTGGCCAAATTCAAGATGGAGAAGCTGGACAAGGATATTGTGGCTCTGCTGACACGCAGGGCATATGATGTGGCCGGCTCTTGTAGGGGCGTTAAAGTCATGCTCAACGGAAAGAAGCTACCTGTAAGTCACCGGTCATTTCCATATGTAAAAAAAGCGTATTTCTTGACAACAGTCTAATGAGTTTCTTCGTTAAATCTAACTTACATACAAATGTTTTCAGACAGCTGTCTCCCTCATGAGCATCTGTGTGTGTGTCTCGTGCTGCAGGTGAATGGTTTCCGCAGTTATGTGGATCTGTATGTGAAGGATAAACTGGACGAGACGGGCGTTGCTCTGAAGGTGGTGAATGAGACGGTGAATGAGCGCTGGGAAGTGTGTCTCACCATGAGTGAGAAGGGCTTCCAGCAAATCAGCTTCGTCAACAGCATTGCCACCACCAAGGTTTCTGAAACACTGTTACTCATTACTGAAACTGGGAATATAAAAAATTACACATTTTCAGAATCGTCGGTGTGGTTGCCTAAATGACTAGTTAACTAATCTGTTTCAACTGAAACCTGTGTATAATTAAACTTGTTTCAGGTTTGCCAGACACAAATCCAACTGGTTTAAATTGGCAGTGGTGCTTTTAAGGGGATGAATTTAAGGGTGCAACTTAACTAACAACTAAACAGCAAAAACATCATATATCATGCTCATGGAATGTGTGATTTCTTAGGGAGGAAGACATGTTGACTATGTTGTGGACCAAATAGTGGCGAAACTGATTGAAGTGGTGAAGAAGAAGAACAAAGCTGGAGTCTCTGTGAAACCATTCCAGGTGCATATTCACAGTTCAACACACTCGTATGATATAATATCTATTCAGACGCTTGGATATTTGGTTCTTTTTGGTCTCTTAACAGTTCTAAAAGAACTAAAAGATCTTTTTTAATTTCAGGTTAAAAACCATGTGTGGGTATTTGTGAATGCCCTTATCGAGAACCCAACCTTTGATTCCCAGACCAAGGAGAACATGACTCTACAGACCAAAAGCTTTGGCTCCAAATGTACTCTCTCTGAGAAATTCATCAGAGCTGTAAGTGTGTGATAATCTCTTATCTTGATCTTGACACTAACATCACTTTCTCATCTCATATATTTAAAGGGGACATCGGATGCCCATTTTCCACAAGTTGGCATGATTCTTTAGGGTCTTTATGATATGCCTGCAACATACTTTGGTTAAAATTCCTCAATAGTCGTATAAAACAACACCCTTTTTACCTTGTCAAAAACAGCTCTGTTCACAGCGACCCGTTTTGGTGCATGTCTCTTTGAATGATATTGAGCTACTGCTCACCACACCCCTCTCTTACGTTTTTTTTTTGTGTATTCATTGGCGAGTTACCATCAAAAACAAAACTAATCCACTGCGTCATGAGTGGCTCTAATGTTGAGAAAAAATTAAGATTCTTATGTTCACTTTTACATCCAACTAGAAAACACCTGCATTGCTTACGAGATATTGTTGTCGCTATAGCTACTCAAGCGCGGAGAGAATGGCAGACAGCGTACAACAGGCTGAGGGCGGAGATATGCTAATACAGGACAGTCTGTCAGTGGTCGTGGGCGGGGCCTGAGCAATATGATGTCATACTGCTTAAAAAAAATGGCTTGATAATTGATACTGTTTAGGTTTTGTGGGGGTTTAAAAAAAGGAGTGAATGGGTATTTATCATTGTAGGGTGGTTGTGTCCACACACTGCTAAGACAAATTTATTGCAAACACCATGTAAAAGTGAACTTTGCATCCGCTGTCTCCTTTAAAGTTACATCAGTTCATGTCAGTGGCCATCTTGCTAACATCCCAGAGCAGCTATTTTCTATGTAGGTAACAGGTATACAAGTACAGGTCTTATTTGCTTGAATGGCCAAAGACTAAAATATGCAAAACTGTTGACAATTTAAATCAGCAATCAAATCTGACAACAATATCATTTATCATTTTTGCTTAAAACTTCAATTGTGACTAAAAACTGTATTTTTCTGACTGGTCAAGTAAATTTGAATGCCCTTTGTAGAGTAAATGGAAAAATGATTTGAACTAAAAGGCAGGGCTTTCTTTTCTTACAGCTGCCATATTGAGTGGTACAATTTCTTCTGTTAATTTTTCTATGAATGTTTCATATCCTCCACCTTAAACTGTCTCTGCCTCTTTTCCCCTTGAACATGACGCTAGAGTAAAGTGCCATAAATCTTTCTAAATTCTCTGTTTTACAGACTTTCCATACAATAAGTCTGCTTCGCTGCCAGGATATGGGCGGAATGGCATATACAAGGTAAACTTTGTGAGACCTGATATCTGTGCACAAACACAGCACCCCACAACCTTTTGACATGCCATCTGTGTGTGATTTTTGACAGTGCATTCAGGCTATACATTTTTTACCAGTATGTGTGTTCCCTGGGAATCGAACCCACGACCTTTTGCGCTGCTAACGCAGTGCTCTACCACTGAGCCACAGGAACATTATTCTACAATACATAATTCTGATACTGGGTTGGCACCTGTACAAACCGGGTCCTCAAACAAAAACCAGTATAAGAACCACTAGTTGATCATAGATTCATGAACAGATATACTACAAAATTAAATTTATGTATATACAGTACACTACCGTTCAAGAATTTGGGGTGAGAACGATTTTTTATTGTTTTTGAAATACAGAAAAAACAGCAACAACTGTTTCACTTGATCGTTATCTTCTAATATGCTGATTTGGTGCTCAAGAGTTCAAAAGAACAGCATTAATTTGAAATGAATATATTTTGTAACAAATGTCTTAATTTTATATGATGTCTTACGGTATGTGTGCATCTGTGTAATTGTGTGTCTTTCACATCCATGTATTTTGCAGGTCTACCCCTATGACATGCTTGCTGTGACCCACAGAGTCAGAGTAAAACTACCACGGGATGTCGACCGCACCAGACTGGAGGTAATATTTTATTAGACATTTACTCAGTGGTTTTGTTTAGTGCGATTACTGTGCATTTTTAATTGATTGCACTTTGGAGCATCCCAAGTTATGATTGAGCGATACTTTTATAATGATTGATTTTTAAATACAGCTGTGTCATCCTTTTTAATATGGAGCATGGTTTGACTTATTGCTGTTTAATTATTATTTTGTCAGTATCAGTCTGGATCAAAGTATGCAAGAAGGCAGCCAGGCAAAGAGTTGTGCATGTTTGTGTGTATGCCTGACTGCACTTCTGCCAGTGTGAGTGTTTGTGAGGTTATGGCTTTGTTGGGCCACAGTCCACTTGCCCACGGCCAACACATAATATATCCTCAGTGTTCCTGGACATTGTGTCAGTGTTATTAGTGGGTTTAAGTGGAAAAGGGAAGAGAAATGTCTGGAGTTACGAGAGATGTTGATTTACAGATCCCACTCCCTAACTGTTAGCTTGGAATCACTGTGGTTAAATTTGTAATATCTGAAAATATGTGTGTGTGTGTGTGTGTGTGTGTGTGTGTGTGTGTTTGCGTGAGTGTGTTTGTCATCATATGACTGGTGTCCTGATATAAGAGGCCCTTGTCACATCTGTTTGAATTGAGCATGATTTGAGTCAGTTGCAACACCCAAAACTTTCCAAAGACTGTGATTTCAGCATCTATTTGGAGATGTTCAAGATACCCACACATCTGCAAGTGTTGCAGTACCACATACGACAGAGCCTGAAAGAATAAAGATTTACACAAATCCATTCTGCAATGGTTTAAAACAAAATTGAGGTCATAGGCTTAAAAGCCTGGCAACTTTTACAGCACCCCATTGGTGCTCGTAATCCTGATTATGCTAAAGGAAATGAATGTCCTCAACCATTGCAAAGCTTTAGGTGACACATGCATATAGATGGCTGTAATTATTGTCAATATTGTATTATTTTTTCGCTCTGTCTTTAATCTGTAATGACATTTGGGCCATGCAGATATCATTAGCAGAATAAACAGTGCTTATAGATTCCTGGCAGAGGTCCTTTGAGATTGTTCTGATTAAGCTTTGATTAGTTGTTGTTATTTTGGGCCTTTATAGATGGATGACTATATCATGGAGCTATTCTGCTTGCTTTAAAGTGATAGTTCACCCAAAAATGAAATGTATTCTCCCTCATGTCTTTTAAAGCCCATATAACATTGTTCTGTGAAACACGAAAGGAGTTATCAGAATGTCCAAGCTGTTCTGTTCCATACACAGAAAGTGGATTTTAATAGCTTTTGAAGATTTTCTAATGAATAACCATTTCAGTTCTGGTCTGTTCGTCACACAAAGGGCTGTACGATTTGGGGAAAAAATCGAATTGCAATTTGTTTGATTAAAAAAATGCAATTGATATTTAAAATTTGATTAATAATAAAATAAAAAAGCTTCAGGTTTGCTGCATGTGCTTGTTTGTAGGGCTGCACAATTTAGTCATAAATGTTGCGATTATCAATATAAAAAAAAGTCTATAAATAATAATAATACTAAGAATAATTTTTTACTACATAAAAATATAAAACAAATCAGCAAATATTGCTATTGTCATATTTCACTGTAAAATGTGTTTCAAAATAATTTTATTTTACGGTACAACTGTAAAATTGTGCTCTTTTTATGCTGTCCTTGACAGCCTGTTCACCATTAATTTTCATTGTGGTAAAGTGAAGTTTGAACATTCTCTTCAAAATATCTTCTTTTGTGTTCCACTGAAGAATGAAGGTACAGAACTGTACAGTACTACAGAACTGTAATTTTTCAACTGAACTATCTCCTAAATTGGCCAGTTATCAAAATTAATCTGTGAAGTTTTAAAATTCAAATAATTACATTTGTCGTAATTCTTATCATTTCAGAGGCACCTGTCACCTGAGGACTTCTACAACGTGTTTGGGATGACCATTGAACAGTTTGACCGTTTGGCCTTGTGGAAGAAAAATGACCTTAAGAAGAAAGCCCGCTTGTTTTAAGTTACGCTGAATCGCTTGAAGGAAAGCAAAGATAAAGAGAAAACCTCTTCTCATCCGTCCTGTGTGCATGGAGGGATGAGTGTGAGAGAAATATATATGCACCTCCGTTCTGCTGCATAGCTACTGTCATCCCATCTCACGCTGAGGAAGAGGGAGCGCTTTCACATCGCTGTTTGCCACCTAGCTCCGTTCATGAATGCCACACCACATGGTCTGAATGTTACTCTGATGATGGAGAGTCAGAACTGAATTCTTTACTGCTCTCCTAGTTTTTCTCTTTGATTGTCTTTGATCTTGCTCCCTCGGCTGTCTTTGTGATTACTGCGTTGTATTCTCTCTTTGTGGAAAAAACACTCAATATTGATATAAGCCACTTTCTTTACATTTTATACCGTTGATAAACATGGCCAACCAGCTCTACTTGTGAGTCTTTTTGTTATGTAATAATATCAATCTTCCCCTCTCCCCTTGTCTTTATTTTTGACTGCAATGAATGTTGTCCAACGTTTACGTCTTGTCCTCGTCTACTCATATTGTTTGCTCAGTGTCTTTCTCTCGCTTTTTTCTCTTGCTGCCTGTTCCTCTTCTTACCTCCTAGACATGATACTCAGCTGCTGCTTGGACTGTAATATCTATTATGTAATATCAGCTTTATGGAATCTCATCCATCCATGGCTTCAGCATGACCGGGCCAAAGACTCAATCGGAGCAAGAAGTCAACAAAGCACCTTACACACGACCTAACCAGACGCGACGCAATAAAACAAGAAAAAAACTCTTCCATATAATTTTTTGTCCTAGCCAGCCTCGATTGTGAGAAGCAAAGAGCAACAGGACACTTTCTCAGTCGCTTGGTTTCTATTTCCACGAAATCATGCTGGGTAGCCCCGCCCACTGTGAAATCTCATTGGTTCTTCAGAACTGTGCATTAAACATCAAATATCTTCTCATTGGCTGTGATTTTGTCACATCACTCATCAGTTTTCGAACTTGGCGTATCGCACCTGGTTAGGACACAGTGTTAGTGGATATGTTTAATAATCTTTACTGTTGCTGAATGACTGTGAGTGAAAAATGCAGAGCTTTTGTGTTATATTATGTATTTGTTTGCTTTTCCAGGTCAGTGTGCAATTCATCAGATGTCATGATATCACAGTTATTCAATAAGACATTTAGAGTTGTTCTAAACTGATATCTGGACTTCACATACAGTACTCTCGCCATATATATTGTGCACAGAACATAATATGGTCGTAAACTTTATCACGCGCATCAGCCAGACATTCTCATTGTTTTAATCCACACAAATGAAAGTGCTCATGGCAGAGTAGACCCTTATTTTTGTATGCAATTCTTTTTTCATACAGATGTTTGCCAGATACTTTACTTTCCATTTGCAAATAATTGCAACATTCACTTTAGCATGGAGCCATGCCAAAGTTAACAGATTCTGTAGCAATTAGCAAAACTAATACAACACAACACTTGATAAAGCATGCAGTTCAGTGGCGCTTCGTTTAAAACCCAAATATGATTGTTTTTCTTTTTTTGATTGTTAATAAATGTGTGTGCAGTATATTGATATAAATGTCCACTTATCATGTCACCCTGTAGACATGCACTGCATTTACTAGAAGCATCATGTAATGGCTTCATATCAGACTTTTATGAGTAATCATGACGTGTTGTTTGATTTGAGATCTTAAAGTTATTGAGAGTTTGTTTTGTTTCTTCAGAAACATTCTTAAGTTGTACCATGTCTATTCTAGATATATGAACTTGGTTCTTTTTCTTATGCCAATGACTCAAATTTGCAAAAAAGAAGAAAGAAGGGTATTTTGTCCTTTAATTTTATGAATACATTACATGAAGATGACAGAAATCTGGAACTGTTAGAAACACCACCACATTTAGTAAACTAAGTTCTGAGTCTGCCTAATGATAACATGTGTAACCATGTGTAACGTGCCTATATCTTGTACAATATCAAGGCAACAGTGGATTTTTTTTTTAACTGCTCAGCAGGGAAACTCCGATTGCTTTGCTTTGTTGATTGTGAAAGTATGGCGTTTCTAACCAAATATGTGTGCATATCTCATTCATCAGGGTCATAATGTAACCTTCACCTGTCATGCCAAAATCTGTTGTTTTGGGGAAAATACAGTACAGTAAAACTAGTCTGAAACACATGAACGTGTTTTGGTCTGAGTGCGTATAGGTGGGAGCCTTCCCAGAAAACCATGTTGAGCTGCGGAGGACGAATGTGTTAGTCTTATTTGAACAGCTGTAGAAACATGCACGCGTGTGGGTGTGAGTGGTGTTAGCCTCCAGTTCAGCAGTCCAATAGTTCAGACTAGGTGAGTTCAGAATAGTGTGTGTTCGATCATTTTTATTCTTTAACAAAACAATGTTAACCTTTAAAAAACAGACCCAAGTGGAGACTAAACAAGGAGGTCATATCTGCAGCTGCATTGGTTCAATGTATGTGTTTTCTAAAAAATATGGTTTGCTTTTGGAAATCATTTCTAAATTTGTTTTTCTTTGTGTGTGTGTGTGTGTGTGTGTGTGTGTGTGTGTGTGTGAAGTCTCTTTGTCTGGATGAAAGCAGATGTAGGACTGTGACCCAAGAGAACTCTGACCCAACAGTTTTGAGAGCTGCTTTCCTACTTTTGCTACTATTACATATGAGGAGAGTTTGTGCCTGGTTCTGACTGCATTCACACAAGTGTTTTATTTTATACCTAGAAAGTTTTAGAGACCTTATGAAGTTGTCTCTGAGGTAACACAACATATTGGGGTTTCCATGGTGGGTACGTGTGGTTTTGTGCTAGTATGCAAACTATTGTGAATAACTGTGATTGTGATGTTATTCTGACTGTGCAAAGTAATGAGTTTGGGAAATGTAAATGCACCCATTTCATTCACTGTGTCTTTGAGTTGCTGTGCAAGAAATATTGATATTCATCTCAATAAACAGGCCTACAGCTACTTCAACTCAAGTGTTTTTCTGTAAAGAAAGTTGCTGAAACAGACAGATGGATAGATGGATATCAATCTAAATAAAGTTACTTAAATTTTTCAGTTCAGCTTTTCTTCTTTCTTTTAAGATTCTGAATCAGACTGATAGATAGATAGATGTTTTAAATTGTATTTGCTTTTTGAAAGTGTCTCCTATGTTTATCATATAAACAAACGAAATAGACGTTGAAACTAAGTCTTCCAAGTTGCAACACTCCTCGATCTAAATGTGACCGCCTCCCAGTTCTGCTATTGGGTGGATTTTTAGTAGCGCGCTGCCGGATTGGCTCACACGGTTGTCAATCTCGGGCTGATTTGACAGCGTGAGCGGTCCTAGGAGCGCAGATATGAATCTGAAGAAGCTCACGGGCCAGCCAGAGGAACAACAGAGGTGGCCGTTATCAAGCGTACGGGATACAGGGCAGGTCCATTATCTTGCGATTAAGTTATGACGGAAAATAACAGAGAAGGTAAGATGTCACTGTTAAAATTATTAGACAGTTGTCTCTATTGATCCGTAGTGAAAGTCTTGACTATCCATGAAATGTTTCCTAATTTGTCGATTTCAACACACTATTGAGGTTTCATAAGGACAAGCGCTGCTCAGAGGACATTTCAGTTCTCCCTTGAAAATGTGAGTGTGATGGGCTGGCTTTCCAGTGTTCATTTCTTTCCAAATGCTAATAATATAAAACAGCTCTGAAGTTGTCATGCTGCATTAATATTTGTAATTTTTTTGGAGCTGTCATCAAACCTTTTTTGTTTTGGAGCTGAGGCTGAGCACAAAGAAGCACGAGGCATCCTGATGAATGTGCACCGCTTGTGGGGGGCTCTTGTTGACTAGCACGAGCCTGGTGGGATCAGCTGCCGTCTCGAGCCCCAGTCTCTATATGCAGAGGGGGGAGGGGCTGATAGAGGTGAAAAGCTAAATTATGAAGAACAAATCCAATTAATTTGATACAATGCAGCGGGATGACTCTTAAACCACTGGGAAAGGGAAGCTCGATTATGTTTTTGTAGTTTATGTAAGGATGAAGCATAGTTGTCACTGACAACATCATAATTGTATCCCTATGTCTAAGATTTTAGTGTTATGTTTACCCTAGCTGACCCTATTATTATTATTTTTATTTTTTTGCAGCATTGTTAGTTGTTCTCAGGTGTTTTGCAAGTTCAGGTGATGTTTATTTAGAGAGGCTATTTATATAAAGAGTTTGGGACCATGTGACGGTGTTTCCATCTCCAGTTTAGTTTTCCTCCAGGAATAACTGACAATGGAGCGGACAAGAACCGTCATCCTGGGTATTGTTTGCTTTACTGACTCTGGCTCTGAGATGAGAGAAAACAGAACAAAGCGTAAAAAGCCACCAAAGTGGTCGTGTCTCATATCTCATCGTCCAGACTGTCTCAAAACAATCAGACCAGGTAAAGAAAATAAGAAAGAATCGAGTGGAACAGGTTGGGTTTGGCCAAACGCAGTCCTTGGACTCCTTGGCTAGAAATACGATCATTTGGAAAAACAAAGATAGGCATGTGGATCTTTGATCAATAGCCAGAGTAGAGTTTAGATGGGTGTGACCAAGCGCTTTGAGGGATGTTAGTCAAGGACCATCTGGTAAAATGGGCGATGGAGCCTAACTTGACCTGTTCTTATGCTTTTGGCTGAACTTTCACCACAATTTGTATCATTCAAACAGGAGGTTCAGTTCAGGATGTTTTGCTTCCTATTCAGAGTAAAAACAAAATACCTTTTCCTTATTGAGTCCCACCCTTTAAAAATAATATTTCCTTTGATTCTTAAGTAAATGCTGATTTTACTGGCAGTTTCATATCGATCTGGCAGAGAATGAACACCTTTGTAAAACATGAACCGTTAAACACCTTTTTTTTTCAGAAGTAGATTCATTTTATTCCATTTAAGGTGAAAAAGCATGTGAGTTGCACCCTTATTGTAGCAGCGTAGCATGTATGAGCTTGTTCATTTACACTTTATTTCAAAAATGTTTGTAACCACACAAAGTGAGGTCATCCAAGGGCTAAATGCCAGTATAGCTTAGTGTTGCATGGTGGGAGTTTGATATTTTTCCTGATAGCTTGATGACTGGTCTGTACATGTGATCAAAAGTCTGATCGCTGATGCAGTGACATCATTACTAGTGCACATCTGGATCTGTATTGTTGCAGCATCTGTGTGAGAAAGAGAAAAGCCACTGGTGAGGATGGATGACTGGTCTTGCTTAATTTGCAGGAGAAAAAAGCAGTCGTACAGATATTTAGTGGACGTTTATTATCTTCTAATCACTGCTTTGAATGATGGGGAAAATGTCGAGATAATGTACAGTTTTCTCTTTTATAGTAGCCTGACTTCTACAAGGCTGTTTTTCCTCTCTTGTGGTTCTAGTCTAGCAGTCTGTGCCTTAAGATAGTTTTCGCAGACAAGTCTCCAGTGGGTTTATATTAGTCTGTCTTAGGATGCAGTATGGAGTTTAATTGTGTGAGTGTGTGTCACATACAGCCACGAACAGCTGCTGATACTTTGTCTGTCTTACTCAATACCAAACCACTTCCTGACCTCTGACACTGATTCCAATGGAAAGTTGTGTTTTGTTATGAAAAGACTGGAAATTTATAGACACTTGAAATTTTTTATTTTATTGATGCAATAAAAAGATAAGGAAATGTAATATGCATCATTACATTTCTGCAATAAGCACACTTCATGGCAAATGCCTCAAACCCATGACCTTGAAGTTGCAAGCACTATGCACATTGCATAACCAGTTGGTCTTTTTTCAGTTTTGTTTATGTGAGCTGAAAAGCCCTTTGAGAACACATAAAGAACAGTGACTCTCAACGATCCCATGAGATCAAAATATGTTTTCTGACTTTTCTGTGTTACTTTCAAGCCATCTATCCACCTTATTTTTAACGTAAGAGTGGGCATGGTCATTTTTAACTTGAATGCCGCTTCCAGTTATTTTAGCTGTAAAAAAAGCTGTCTGTTATGAAAGCACGCAACTTTTTTTTCATGAAAACTATGAAAGCTTGCACCATCTTTCAGTTGTAAATATCAAACATGTCTAAGATTTACGATTTGGGATTGGGGAGGGTTTAAATGTGTGGCCAGCCTTATTCACCTAAAGTGGCTAATGAATCTGAAGTCTCACACATTCACAAGAAAATAGCTTCCACATTGCACTGTGTTCTTATAAAGGTTGACAAAATTCACTTTTAGCAGATATACACATTTGAATGTGCTATATGTAATTTTTGACTGTACTAAAGCATAAAAATATTATATTTTTGCAGATATTTAAGAAACGTGCTAAATTCACAGAATTGTTTCTCCGAAAAACAATGCTACAGCCAGTTATTCTACTGCGTTCTGTGTCGGAATGTCTGTTTTTGTTTTGGTCTGTGTGATTCCATCCACTGCCAATTTACCCAATAGTATTTCGACACCCCGGGTTGCCAGAATGTAGAAAACATGTATTGCAGCAATGGAAGCCAGCAAAAGTTATTTTAGCTGTACAAAAAGCTGTCTGTTATGAAAGCACGCAACTTTTTTTTCATGAAAACTATGAAAGCACGCACCATCTTTCAGTTGTAAATATCAAACATGTCTAAGGTTTACGATTTGGGATTGGGGAGGGTTTAAATGTGTGGCCAGCCTTATTCACCTAAAGTGGCTAATGAATCTGAAGTCTCACACATTCACAAGAAAATAGCTTCCACATTGCACTGTGTTCTTATAAAGGTTGACAAAATTCACTTTTAGCAGATATACACATTTGAATGTGCTATATGTAATTTTTGACTGTACTAAAGCATAAAAATATTATATTTTTGCAGATATTTAAGAAACGTGCTAAATTCACAGAATTGTTTCTCCGAAAAACAATGCTACAGCCAGTTATTCTACTGCGTTCTGTGTCGGAATGTCTGTTTTTGTTTTGGTCTGTGTGATTCCATCCACTGCCAATTTACCCA